TCCCTAATAGTCTCACTTGCACAGGAGTGCCTAATCTAGAGGTTGACCTTCATGTTTGACCCATCTCATAACAAGTGTGTAACTCATGGGAGGAAGAGAAGGAAAATGATGGGTGTGAACAAAGACACACAAAAAATGAGTAATGCAATATTCTGATGATAACTCCACATCACTGATAAAAAATTTTTTTTGGAAGAGAATGATAAATAAGTCCAGCCACCCAAAAATACAATTAGAAATATCATAAATAACCAAAAGATATTATGGTAGGAATGAACCAAAACATAGATTTCATGAAAGATGCTAATGATGCAATAGTATGAGTTGGGCCTACACCGACATGCCACCCAACACTTGGAATCTACACTAAAAAGGACCAAATTATGTAAAGTCACCTTAAAACGAAGGATATCTTCAAAGTTGGAGGAATTGATTCAGATCTGAAGATATAGGCAATGTGAAACGTAACCGAGGGTGTTGGCATCATGGAAACTCGGCATGAAGACATCGCTGAGGCAAATGTTGGCCGTGCCCCTGCCACGCACTGCACAGGGGAGATGGAGAGTTAGTCACAGAACTGTGAGTTTTCAAGTTCCATTCGTGAGGACTATTGTGAAAGAAATGTGCCAAATGCCATCTGACATTAATTCCTTTAACTTCCAGTGCCAATTCCGAGCTCGTGCGGTAGCTCAGGAGTTCCTGTTACAGTCTATTCTCCTATAAGTTCGTAAGTAGGCGTCCTTGCTTTATGGGCTTGGCTAATGTGAGTCTGCTCCAAGAGGTGGCTTCCTCCTTGGTGGGTAAACAAAAATCAGGTCCACGGTCATGATTAAGGCTGTGAGTTCTGCCCTGAATGCCTTTCGGAAGACAACTTCTCCCTCTCCCCCTTCTTCAAGGGAATGCCTAGTCCCATGACAGCGTGTACGTTTTCTTTAAAGCAGACGCTATGTGAATGCTTATGGACTTCAGAGAATGATAGCATGCCAGTAAGCAATCACCTAAGTAATGATGGGGTAAGGCAGAGTGCTCAGGGCCCTTAGAGAATCTCAGGCATGGCAGGAATCCTGATAAAAACTTCCGAGTAGTTGTCAGTTCCGATGCTCGAATGCATCGTAATAAAAAAATGCATGCACCCAGGGTGGTCCAGCCCATTCTTGGAGACCTCTTTTGAAGAGTTTCTCCACATTTCAGGTCATACTCATCCTCGGCCCGCGGGACTTTTCCACCATCAGAAGCATCTATGCTACAGTCAGAATGGCATTTCCAGGCACTTCCCCACTTGTATTAGCCCCGCCCTCTATTTCAGTGCCCTTTGCCAGGAAACCCCATTCCTTTTCCTCTAAACATGGCCATTACCCTCTGGCTCTATAGGACACAGCACTTCCCTGACTGGTTGTCACAGATTTTAAGATGGTGGCGGAGACTGAAGAGAAGAGTCCTATTTTCTTTTTAAGATTCTTAGAGGGGACGGGGAGGGGCTGGCCACTTTCCCCAGGCTGAGTTCATGAGTTTATGTCAGGATAGATGAGGCAGACCAGCAGCTGGCACACTGAGCTACAGGAAAAAGGAAGAACCAAATCAAAGTGAAACAGGCTCCACACCACTCAGCAGCCTTGCAATTTAACATTTAACCGAATGTTGGTTGGCAGCAAAGCTGGGGGAGTGAGATTATTGGCACGTTTGACTGACAGGTCTATCATTAAGGAGAAATGCCAATTTGTTTCCTAAAGGGGCTGTACAAATTTATACCACCCTCCACCCCTCTGGCAACGTGCAAGAGCTTCAGTAGTTTCACATCCTCCCTAAATTTTTGATATTGTCATACTTTTACATTGTTTTTCAATATAGTGGTGTAAATTGGAATTTTGAGTTTTTAAAATATATATATTTTTATTGATTTAAGGGAGGAAGAGAGAGATAGAAATGTCAATGATGAGAATCATTGATTGGCTGACTCCTGCATGCCCCACAATGGGGATGGAGCCCACAACTGGGGCATGTGCCCTGACCGGGAATCGAACCGTAACCTCCTGGTTCATAGGTCAATGCTCAACCACTGAGTTATGCTGTCCAGGCAGAATCTTGAGGTTTTGAATTGTATTTTTCTCAATTACTTACGACTTTTTTTTTTTAACATTTCTTGGCTATACTGTATGTTTCCTCTAAATAAAATTCCTAGCTATATCTTTTACCCACTTCTCTATTGAGTGGTTCATGGTTACTGGTTGCGAGAGTTAAGTTGTTGAGACCAGTCCTTTGCCTCTGTGTGTCCCAGTCAATACCATGTGAGACAGAAGAACTGGACACACAGCATGGGCGGCAGCGAGGCTGGCAGCAGCTGGGCACCCAGCATGGGTGAGCCCATGAACTCATGAGAAATAGTAAATAGTTGTTTTTAGTGATAGTTTGTAACAAAGCAACAGATAATTAAAATAATATAAAACTCTGTTTTATTCATATCCTAAGGCCCAAGTTTTCTTTCATAACATTATTGAACTTTGGTATCATTTTTAGCTGATCATTCTTCCCAGAGTTGTATCTATTTTGTTCAATTTAGAAAAGGCCAAACTTTTGGTTTTGTTTATGTATTTATATAAATATAAATTCACTTTTTTGTTTTACTAATTTCTACTCTTGTTTGTTTAGGTATTCGTTTTCTTCTGTGTAGTTTGGGGGCAATGCTATTGCTTTTCTCTTAACTTCTTAAGTTGGGGCATTTAACTCATTGATTTTGAGGTTTTCTTCTCTTCTTATATAAATACTTAAACATATAAATCATCCTCAAAGCATTTTTTGTTGAATCCCATGAGTTTTGGGATGTCACGTTTATTATTATCCAACTCTACACATTTAGATAACTCCTCCGTACTACAGACTATACTCCTGTGTTTTGTACATTTACCCACTTCCCCCACCCATCTTAGCTCTGTATGGCCCAACCAGACAGGGGTGCTACTGGCATCTAGTGGGTTGAAGCCAGATGCTGCCAAACACTCCTCCTAGGTCACAACAGGGCACCTTCACCCAGCCAACAAAGAATTATCTGGCCCAAATTAATATCTTGCTGATGCTCAGTCCCACGACATTTCCTAATTTGTTTTGAGATTAAAACTTAAGTATCATTGAGCAGAAGCAAAAGACACAGTTTTGGGTCTGAGTCCGTCCAAATCAGCTATCTAACATGACCCCATGAAATGTTCTCATGTGAAAAACGGAGATAATTATTTTGGGGGGACTATATGAAGCTCAGAATGGTTCATGCGTATGATGTGCAGCAGGTGTATAAATCCTGGTGTATAAATCAGGATGCTGTACAATAAAACCAAACGCAACATGGAATGCACATAATTTATTAAGAAATAGAGGTACAACTTTCCGTAACCAGGAAGCCAACTCAGAGTGACTATGGAAGAAGAAAGCAGGATTACAGGAACCAGGAGCACATGGGAAACGAAAACAGGACTGGGAAGATTTGCAGCAGTTGCAGAAAACCTATATAACAGTTACAAGAATTCCTTTCTCTAAGTCACACAGAGGGAGAGGGTGGAGACCTGGACTATGGAGTCAAAGCAGAAACCATAGCTCCATATCGAGGATGCCCGAAGCTGACACATGTTCCACACACACGGGAGGAAGAGGATTGGGGACGTCCTCTGCTCTCCATCCAGCTGATTCAGAGGCTTGTATCAGGCACACGTGTCACAGAAATTAAGGTGCAGCATGCTGGTTGTCAGCCAAGTTGAGGAAGTGAATTTGTTTCCAAAATGGCGAGTCAGTTAAGAGGTGTTGTGTGAAGATGGTGGTTCTTTGGTGAGGTGATCAGCAGCAGGAAGGCTGGCAGCAGCTGGACACACAGCAAGGGCGGCAGCAGCAGCTGGGTCGGCAGCAGGTGGTTTTACAGCAGGTGGTCTGACAGCAGGTTGGGCGGCAGCAGGGTGAAAGTAAGGCCAGTCCTCCAAGACCAAGGACCATAGCAAGTGTATGTAGCATTGATCACTCCAGTCCTTTCCCAAAGGAATCCACAGCCATTTCCTCAGGGGACACTGGAATACCCTTATTGGACGTTGCTGGTTACTGTATCTAAGTTGACACTAACAGTTGGCAACCATTCATAATATATGTTTAAAGTGTGTTAAAGGACACAAGTAATTACATTTGGAATACTGGCGTCTTAGATTGGGTGCCCTCAGGAACAGACTCCCAAACAGGGGTTTGAGATCTAGTAGTTTATTTGGGAGATCATCCTAAAAGGCACTGCAGGGAACCTGAGAAATGATCTGGGGAAGGGACGGAGGCCAGTGTAGGATGATGGAATGAGCAGCTTACTCCTGTGGGCAGCTGGGTGTCACTCCACCAAGGACCTGAAGAGAGTGGTGCTCCTTGCCCCCACCTGAGAGGAAAGAGCTAGAGTATGTACCCACTGCACCCATCACTGGCCGAGCACTGCTCCTAAATACTTGGACCCCCGGCCTGCCTTAAGCTGGCTCCTTCATCTGGAGAAAGCCCATAGGCCAACGGATCAAAGTGTTTGCTGTAAGAAACCACCTTCCTTTATTAAACAAGAATGCTGAGGGCATAGAGGGGGGCATCCTGAGATCACCTGCTGTCCTCTGCTCCCTGCAGAGAGAACAACAGAACAATTGACAGCTAAGGATGGCAAGTCACGAGGAAAAATGATCAGACACGATACTCTTGTATTTGTATGCCTGGGAAATTCAGATTTATTTAAGATTTAGGGGCATCTCCATTTGAGAAAAGATGGCCGGGAAGAAATATATCAATAGGGATGACATGTTGGTTGAAAGATTTCAGACAAAATTCAAACTTTGTGTTCATCTGGGAGACAGGTAGTAACATGCTCTTGGCAGGGGGCGGGCAATATATTTGGAGGCCAAAGTCAGTTTAAGAATGAGTTGGAACTAAGTTTTGACAATTGGCCTGTCATGACTCAGTTCAGTTAAACTACATCAAGAAGCTTGGCTGACGATAACCAGTGGGCACAGGTCAGGGAAGTCAGCAGCAGGAACCACTAGAGCAGACTGGGCGGCAGCAGGTGGTCTGGCAGCAGGTGGGGCGGCAGCAGGTGGTCTGGCAGCAGAGGGTCGGGCAGCAGCTTGGGCGACAGCAGCTGGAGCCACAGCAGCTGGAGCCACAGCAGGAGCCACAGCAGGAGGGGCGGCGGCAGGTGGTCCTGCAGCAGGTGGTCTGGCAGCAGGGGGGGGCACAGCCCTGGTCAGAGCAGCCAGAGCCACACAGAAGCTGACCATGGTGTCAGAGGAGGAGGCTTTGATATTGGTAGGAGAGTGAACTGAGCAAATTTGAAGTCCCTCTGCTGTAGGTCCTCTTTCATACTATGCCGAGGTGCTGTGTCCCAGTCCTGGACCTTTTTCTAGTTTATTTTTCTAAATAAATATTAGTCTAAAATTGGAGCATCATGTT